AAAGAGACTTGGTGGTGGGGTCTGCTACAGACCACCACACCAAGAGAAAAAGCTAGACTTGGAATTCTTGAGGCAGCTCTCAGAGGCCGTACAGTCTAGGGACGTGGTTGTCATGGGGGACCTAAACTACCCTGACATCTGCTGGGAGGAGCAGTCAGCCAAATTCAACTGTTCACATAGGTTCTTAACCTGCATGCAGGACCTTCACCTAATGCGGGAGGTATACGGTCCCACTAGGGGGAATGCCCTACTGGACTTGGTATTGGCTACAGGAGATGACCTGGTAGAGGAGATGCAGATTTGTGGTCACCTTGGTGACAGTAACCATCAATCAACTGAATTCATCATACAGCGTAGGATGGGAAAGATAACTAGTAGGGTGGAAGTGCTTGACTTTAGGAAGGCTAACTTCAGCGTGCTCAGGAGTTTAGTTGTTCCTGCAGGATAAGAGTATTGGCGAGATGGGAGTCCAGGAAGGGTGGTTGTTCCTAAAGGAAGCAGTCCTTTGGGTGCAGAAGGAGACTCTTTCAGTACAAGGGAAAAAGGGGAAAGGAGGCAAAAAAACTTCCTTGGCTAACCAGGGAAGTCTAGGGAAGCCTAAGGGCAAAAAGGAAGGCATATAGGTGGTGGAAGCAGGGGGAAGCTACCAAGGAGGAGTATACTTGCTTGGCCTGCACTTGCAGGGAGGCAGTTAGAAAGGCCAAAGCAAATATAGAGCTGAGGCTGGCAACACATATTAAAGACAACAAAAAGTCTATTTTTTTAATTTTTTTTTTTTTTTTTTAGGTATGTAGGGAGTAAATAGGAAGGCACAGGGCAGCATAGGACTCCTACTGAACAAGAAGGAGCAATTAGTGACAGACAGAGGGGACAAGGCTGAGCTCTTCAATGAATTTTTTTGCCTCAGTGTTCCTGAACAGGGGTGAAATAAGTATCCTAATGGGTTCTTAGATGGCCAACAGAGGGACACCAACCCACCAACTGTTGATGCTGACTTGGTGAAGAGTCACTTGGATGGACTGGATGCATTTAAGTCAGCAGGCCTGAATGAGCTTCATCCAAGCGTACTGAAGGAATTGGCCATTGTCATAGCAGAACCATTGGCATGGCTGTTTGAGCACTCGTGGCGCTTGCGTCAGGTCCTGGAGGACTGGAAAAGGGCCAATGTGGTCCCTATTTTCAAGAAGGGGAGGAAGGAGGATCCGAGTAATTATAGGTCAGTCAGATCGGTGGGTGGCAAATTGGCTTAGTGGTTGCACCCAGAGTGGCAGTAGACAGGTCAGTATCAACTTGGAAGAATGTGGGTAGTGCGGGTCCCGCAGGGTTCGGTCCTTGGACCTGTACTCTTCAATATCTTCATCAGTGGCTTGGATGTGGGTGTGACGCGTACTCTGTCCAAGTTTGCGGATGATACTAAATTGTGGGGTGAAGCGCACACTCCAGAGGGTAGGGAACAATTCCAGGCAGACCTGGACAGGTTAGAAAAGTGGGCAGTACACAACAGGATGCAGTACAAGGACAAGCGCAGAGTGCTGCACCTAGGGTGCAAAAATATCCAGCACACCTACTGGCTGGGAAGTGACCCACTCAGCAGCACAGAAGTGGAAAGGGATCTCGGAATCATAGTGGATTCCAACATGAACATGGAGTTGTCAGTGTGACAAAATCATCAGCAAAGCTAACCGCACTTTATCATGCATCAGCAGATGCATGACGAATAGATCCAAGGAGGTGATACTTCCCCTCTATGCGGCATTGGTCAGACCGCAGTTGGAGCACTGCATCCAGTTTTGAGTGCCATACTTCAAGAAGGATGTGGATAGACTCGAGTGGGTCCAGAGGAGGGCCACTCGTATGGTTAGGGACTTACAAGAGAGACTGAGGGACCTGGACCTCTTGGGCCTCTGCAAGAGAAGGCTGAGAGATGATCTTGTGGCCGCCTACAAATTCATTAGGGGGATGCAGCAAGGGATCAGAGATACTCTGTTCACCAGGGAGCCTCTTGGGGTAACAAGAAACAATGGTCACATACTGACAGAGAGCAGACATAGGCTAGACATCAGGAAAAACTTTTTCAGGGTAAGGGTGGCCAAAATTTGGAATAGGCTTCCAAGGGAGGTGTGTTTTCCGCTACCTTCGGGGACTTTAAGAGAAGACCTGGTTGGGGTCACCTCCCAGTGCTCTTTCCTGCCTAAGCAGGGGGTCGGACTCGATGATCTGTTGAGGTCCCTCCCGACCCTAGCATCTATGAATCTTACCTGAGCCATTGTGAATCTTGGTTACAGAGTCCAGATGGGTGAGGCTAAAGAAAAGAACAGAACATAGGCTGATGATAAAACAGCACAGAGCTGAATATCAGGTGAACCTACATTATGGAAAATAGCTCTCTGTGAGCCTAAAGCTACAGGCACCTCTCTATACAACTCAGCCTTACCTGATAGCAGTTCCAACACACTTGTGTTTGGACCATGCTGCTGCTTTAATAAAAATATCATGATTAACCCATGCACAGTATTAGACCAATGGTGCTAAACATTTTGGCTCTGTGGGCCAGAACAGATGTGAGAGGCCAAATCCACAGGCCAGAGTGGATACTGTGCACCAGGACCAGGCTCTGGGGCTCCATGTCACCTCTGCCCTGTGGGAACTGGGCTCCAGAGGCCCTGCACCACCTCCACACACTGGAATTGGGTCCTACACCACCCTGTATGCTCAACCTACAGCACAGGGCTAAGGCCCACAGGGCTCCCAATGGACCTGTGGGGAGCCCTGCAGACCAGATGACATGGTGCCAGTGGCCAGATCTGGCCTGTGTGCCAGGGGCTGAGTACCCCTGTATTAGACAGACTGCTGCTTTGAGCAGGAGACTGGACTAGATGACCTCTCAAGGTCCCTTCCTGTAGCCCTGCTCTGATTCTCTGCTTAGCAGGCCCTCCTCAATTTTAGTCAGAACAGCTATTAGCTATAGTCTCTTGGGCCCCTGGGAGTCCTGCCCATGTTATATTTCAATCAAGCAAAGAGTTCAAGCCCCATTGGCTTTAAGTGACAGCTACAGAATGATTTAAGTAGTTCCCCTACAAAGGCAACAGCAGGGGCAAAGTGTCAATGAAGTCAGAAAACATGCACGAGCAGGATCAGAGGACTGAGGTCTCCCCCATGATCCTAGAGGTAGTTATAACCCCTTGTAGCCATGCTACACTTGGTGGCAAGACTGTTACAGTAATTTATATTAACCATTAACAAACAGTCACCACCAGCTGCTTGGGAAGGGGAATGACTCTGACCCAATTACCTGTGAATTCTCCTGTATGCATCTTGCTCCTCCTGGCACAAGATCTTGGGCAGCTCCACAGCTGATTCCAGGCACACTTTCCCAATGGTTTCATGGGGGACCACATGAACAGGAATTTCAATTCTCTCGTACCTGGAGGGTGAGCACATGCAATTTTTGCTTCATGGCCCCACCCTCATGCTCTGTTGTTTCAGATAGTTAAGTCTTTCCTACAGCTATAATGGTTTGCTCCATGAAGGGCATCACCAAGGCTTCAAAGCTGGGCAGGTTGTGCTGACAGGAAAGTTAAGCAGTCTGTAATGGTGTTAATTCTCCACAAAGCCCCATTAAAATACTTTAATGGAAGCAGCCAGGAAATCAGGACTGCTACTATCACCTGGCAAGCATGTAAACAAAACTGTTCTAAGGTTTAGACTGCCATAAAGCTATTGGCTTTAGAGCAGGTGATAACTCACCTTTATATTTCCATAATTACTTGGATTAACATGCAACATTAGGATCACAATCTGAATCTAAGAGCAGTAACACTACTCACTTAATTTAACCAAGAAAAGATGAAGACTAAAAGGGGGTGGGGGGAAAGAGAGGGAGAGATTGATTCTCTTTTGCAAGGACTTTCTCATGAAAAGATGAAATATAGTACTCACTCTGAGCTCTTCTGGGCCTGAATTGATTGGAAACAGGTGTAGAGAATCCTCCCTGTCTAAAATAATTAGCAGAGAGCAATTAGATGATAAGCAATAAAAGTAAACCTGAGATCCAAAATGCCTAGAAGCAGCAAAGTTTGCTTTCAAATAATAACTTTTTAAATAATACCCTTTCAAAAAGGTACCACTCACTTGCTGGTGAGGGGAGAAAGAAAAATTCTTAAAAAGATACCAAATTCCATATTATGGACCATTGGAACTATAACACGAAACAATGAGTTCAGAGCCATCTGTCTTAAGCTAAAAATTTTAGGTCCAGAAGTCAGAGTTAGAAGATCACATGCTATATCCAACTCACCCCACTTGGTGACTCATCTCATGAAGGGTCAGTGATAACAGAAAAAAAATACTCTGACATGGTAGGATGCCTATATTGAACTCATGAAATTACCTTTGTTTTGATGAACACCTGTTAGGCATCTTGCTTAGTCTCAGACAGCAACACAGTTCTGAGATAGCTAGAGAATGCAGAACCAGCCTGGGGATTAAGTCATGCCAGAGCTACTTTGGAGAAAAGAAAATCAGTTCTGCCAACACAAACAGCAAATTGTTTCTACTCCAGGAGGGGCCTGGACCTTACTTTGGTTAAAGCAGAGTCCTTGCTTCAGATTCTGAACATACGACTTCTGCTCCAAATAGATGCTGAAGTTTTAAATTAGTATCTGAGGGATTTCTCTCTATTTGTAAGTTACCTACCTTTGTGTTTTTGTCTTCAATGAAGCAAGAGAAGATAAGCCCAACAAAGCCCTGATCCATCATCTGATACATGGCTTGAGTGCGAACGTCTGCAGACATGAATGAAAACAAAATAAGCCAGCACCAGCCACTAAAAGACTTGCCACTGTCATAATGGTTAAACATTAGGATATAAAGGATACTTACCCATGTGCGGCAGGGCACTGTGAGTGCCTGCCACTTTAAGGGCCTGGAGCTGGCAGCTGCCTGATTTTGAATCAGGGGCTGCCCTTATAAACAGGGCAGTTCGGCTGCTGGAGGCCAGGTAACAGCATTGCCTGGCTGCTGGTATCATCTGGAGGTAAGGGAGGAGCTGTAGGGGATGGTCAGGAGGCTCCTGGTCCTGGGCATGACCTAAAACTGTACCCTGCTGGGAGTGGGTGGCCTGGTGGGGCTCCCCATGGTGCAGGAGCCCCCAGGAAATGCCAGGCCAGTTACCTCCCTGGTGAAAGGTGGGTCGGGGAGCCTTAACCCCTAGCCCCCATGACTGGGTGGGTTACCCCTTGTCTGGGGGGTGGACCCCTGGAGAGAGAGAAAAGGCGATAGACTCCGGCCTGTCTGGACTTCCCCTGACTGGTCCATGCTGGGGCCAGGACCGGAAAGGTCGAAGGGCCGGGGGGTGGTCCCCACTGTGAGGAACGCTCAAGAGCCGTGTACCTGGGGTCCCGACTGGCCTGGAGGTGGGCCAGGGCTAGTGAGCCGGAGGTCTCGGTTGGGGGACCACACCAGAAGGGAAGCGGTTGGGAGAGCCATGCTGCCTCGTATGAAGGGGGATAAGACCGCCCGAGAAGAGGAATCCGGGCGGGGCTCAATTGGGAGGACTGTGGGGCCGGTGACGATGAGAACATCGCAATGCCATCTGCGAGGCTTGGGCTGCGGTGTAGGGGAGGAACAGAGGTGCAGATAGCACCCCCTGGCATCGGGGCAGGAAATGGGCAGCCTCCTGCTTAATTACATCAACTAATTAATTAACAAGAAGACATGGTAGGTGAGAAGGCAGGCAGTTAGCCCAGAAACAGGTGGGTGGGCTGCAGGGAAAGCAGCCCTGAGAAGGCCCTGTTACAGTGGTGCATTGGCTGGGAAACATCAGTCGGATGGCCATGCACAGCATCAATCTTTACTCCCCCCGGTAGAGGCAGTGTACAGAGCCCCGAGTTTGAGGTTAAGGAGAAGCCCAGCGAGGGTGTAGAGCCCCTTCAGCTCCTCCCTCACCTCCAGAATCGCGCTGTTCTCCTCATCACCCGCCCCACGCCGGGCCCCACAATCCTCCCAATTGAGCCCTGCCTGGGTTCCTCTCCTTGGGCGGTCTCATCCGCCTTCATACAAGGCAGCATGGCTCCCCCAACCGCTTCCCTTCTGGTGTGGTCCCCCCACCGGGACCTCTGGCTCACTAGCCCTGGCCCACCTCCAGGCCAGTCGGGACCCCAGGCGCACGGCTCTTGGGCGTTCCTCGCGGTGGGCGCCCCCCTGGCCCTTCAACCCTTCCGGTCCTGGCCCCAGCACGGACCAGTCAGGGGAAGTCCAGACAGGCCGGAGTCTATCGCCTTTTCTCTCTCTCCAGGGATCCACCCTCCAGACCCTCTGAACAAGGGGTAGCCCACCCGGTGTTGGGGGCTGGGGTTAGGCTCCCCGACCCGCCTTTCACCGGGGTGGTAACTGGCCTGGCATTTCCTGGGGGCTCCTGCGCCATGGGGAGCCCCACCAGGCCACCCACTCCTGGCAGGGTGCAGTTTTAGGTCATGACCAGGAGCCTCCAGACCATCCCCTACAGCTCCTCCCTTACCTCCAGATGACGCCAGCACCCCTCCGGCCAGGCGGTGTTGTTGCCTGGCCTCCAGCAGCTGAACTGCCGTCTATTAATGGCAGCCTCAGATTCAAAATGGCCGCCCCCATCGGGCACCTGGCAGCTGCCCGCTCCAGGCCCTTAAAGTGGCAGGCACCCGCAGTGCCCTGCCACACCATGGTACTCAGTCCCCAAACTAGCCAGCTTGCTACATTGGAATATGTACGAGCGAGCAAGAGCGTAAGTGCAAGCGAGCCTGGTGACGAAAATTGATCAGAGTTGTGACCACACAAACACATTTGGCAAGAAGAGGTTCTCGCCTACTCTTTTGACAAAGCATTTGTGGTGTTTTAGCGCACACATCCATGTACAACTAGAAAAGATAAAGAATACATCAAGAGTGAACTGTGGGACTCTTCTGCTCTTCCCTGCATGTCTGACTGCAGCTCTGATCTTTCTGTCTTAAAAGAGATCTATGGAGAGAATCCACTTACTGTAGGAAGCTAGGGGACTTCTCAGTTTGGATGATTTAAAAGTAGAGGAAAAGTTGGATTACAAATCTCCAGCAGCACTTGTTTTACCACCACCACCATGGACAAAGTGCTATTATTCACCATGACTATTTTCATATGACATTTCTTACCCACGTGAGACGGCCAAACAGTAATGTGCGGATGAGAATGATACCAGCCCACGACCCTCATGGGACGTCCCGTCATCTCAGCCAGCCTGTGTGTCAGTCAAGGTGCATTAAAAACACTAGAGATAGCAGAAGAAGTGATAGATGTCCCTCGCATAAATGAAGTAGTAACCAGGGGGAAGAAATGGGATCCCACATGGGGTTAATTTGATTTTAGTTCCTTTATAGAAATGCTGGGGTGCTGGAAAAACTGATTTCTTCTCCCTCTCTATCACCTGTAGACAACCTGAAACTAACAAGGAAGTGCCAGATCTGCAACTATGTGGAAATGTATAACTTTTAGCAAGATACCCAAAGAATCAGATTCCTGTCATTTACAAGACTGTGTGTGGAAAATAGGCTTTTCTGTTATGGGGATTTTCGAAGTGTGTCAACCCTGAAGACACAAACCTACTGAACTTTCATTTCCCACTAATTTTCTTGCTGTATTTACCACTTGTTAGGAACTGGAACTAAAGGAAAATGCACTTCCTCCAACCATCTTTCTCTGTGTAGTTTAGACCAGTGTTTCTCAACCTTTCTTGTACCAGGACCCATTTATAAACAAACACTGATGGCTAGGCCCAACCCAGTACATCGTTTAAGTAGAAAACAGCCCCCTGGGCCTGCTGGTGCCCCCCTCACTCTTAACCTAACCCCCCCACCCCCACCCAACCCTGCTGGTACCCCTCATTCCCAACCTGCTGCCCCCAGCCCCAGGCCCCAAGTGTGGGGCAGGGTGTGTGTGTG